TGTGTGTGTGTGTGTGTGTGTGTGTGTGTGTGTGTGTGTGTGTGTGAGAGAGAGAGAGAGAGAGAGAGAGAGAGAGAGAGAGAGAGTTTATTACCACCAAGCCAGCAATGCAAGAAATCTATTTTTAAAATTTTTTACAAAAATGAGGTCATGATGTACAAATTGTTTGTTAACCTGATTTTTGTGAACATTTATATATTGTGAGCATTTTTTCAATGCCATTACATATTTTTTCTGTAAAATCTTGTGACTAGAAAAATGAAATTCTATTGAGTAAATGTATCATGATTTATTAATTGGTCCCTTGTTGTTGGACATTTTTATTTTTTTAATTTTAAAAAAATATATTTTTATTGATTTCAGAGAGGAAGGGAGAGGGAGAGAGAGAAACATCAATGGTGAGAGAGAATCATTGATCAGCTGCCTCCTGCATGCCTCCTACTGGGGATTGGGCCACAATCTGGTCATATTCCCTGACCTGAGTGGAACCCTTATCTCCTGGTTCATAGGTCATTGCTCAAGGACTGAACCACACTGGCCAGGTGAGATCATAGCTTTAAATTAGCTCTACTTTCTTTACCTAGAAGAATTTTATTTCATTTTTGTCCAGCTGGCATGACTCAGTGGTTGAGCATTGACCTATGAGCCAGGAGGTCATGGTCAGGGCACATGCCTGGGTTGTGGGTTCAATTCCCAGAGTGGGGCATGCAGGAGGAAGCCAATAAATGATTCTCTCTCATTATTGATGTTTCTATCTCTCTCTCCCTTCATCTCTTTTATTATATACTAGAGGCCTGATGCACAAAGATTCATGCAAGAATGGGCCTTCCTTCCTCTGGCTGCTGGCACCGCCTTCAGTCCGGACTGGAGCCACCTTTCCAACTTCCCAAGCTGCCCAGAGGCCCAGAGTGGCTGGGGTGGTGCTGAATGCCTGTGTTGTCACCATGGCGACGATGCAAGCATCCCACCCCAGACACTCAGCGGCTGCATATGCAAATTAACCTGCCATCTTAGTTGGGTTAATTTTCATACTCCTGATTGGCTGGTGGCATTGCAAAGGTATGGTCAATTTGCATATTTCTCCTTTATTAGTGTAGATAGTTTTAGAGGACAGAATGATTCATCTGTGGGAATCATAAGGAGATGTTTTTTAAGATCAATACTAAGAAGAATTTTCTAAAAATAAGAACTATTAAAGGTCAGCTTAGTGAATTAATAGGATTTGAACTAATGATATTCTGTTTCTAAATGTTCTTCTCATAGAGATTTTTATATTAATTGAGAGATTATATAGTCTGACTCCTCAGGTCTCTTTCAATTGTAAAATATGATTCTGTGTGTCCACATGGTTAAAATGAAAGATATTTAGAAAATATGATTATGAGGATAACTTGTCTGAATGTTTTGAGAACTGTTATTCATGAAAGGTTTTTTAGGAACTCAATACTGATCATGTAAATCTAGAGAAGATTGGGGGAAATATAGTACTCACAGGCAAAGACTTGGAGTTTTTCTGTGTGTTCAGGATTAAGAGGTAAAGTATAACAGAAAATGTTTCTTTACTGAGAATTTCCTAGGAATATGCCTCAATCAACCCCAATTTCATTTCCTATTGACCAGGTTTTCTGTTGTTGTTGTCTTTTTGTTTTGCTATTTTAATTTAGCTGAAGGAGAATTTAAGGAACACAGAGCGGAAACACCAAGAGACGCTTAGAAAATTGGAAAACAGGTTTTTTAAAGAAAAGGTATGACATATTAAGGTTAACTTAAAATTCTTTCATTTACCAGAACAACATAAATGTATTTACATGCATTCTGAGATATCAACCTTCCATTTGGTACCTTGTTAGTTTTGTTTTGTTTTTTATAAAATCACAGTAGAATAAAAAATAGGGAAAATAAAACCTATTTTAGATATCTCAATGTGTAGTCTTTTTTCCCTTCCCAGTTAGAGATTCTTGAAACCCCCAAGTGAGATTGTCATCTTACCAATGCTTTCAGACATATCTCCCTCAGTTTGGTGTTTCCCTGGTGGAACTAAAGATGCATGTACCTCACTATATAGGGGAGGTGGGATTGGAGTGGTCACTCTGGTACACATGATGTACATTTTGATTATTATTATTGTTTGGGTCCAATCATAGTATGTAATCTCCATGAGAGCAGGGACCCTATCTGTTTTGTTCACCACAGAATCTCCAGTGTTTAAAAAACCTGGTATACTATTATTGCCCCATAGGAATTCGTTGAATGAATGAATAACGACTCTCATCCCTCTCATAGATACTGACTCTCCTCATTTATTTAGCAGAAATTTCTCTCAGCTCTGCTTTGCCATACTAATGTGGAATTTTTTTCCTATTTATTTGTCATGTTGTTTCTTTAAATGAGATTGGGAGGTACCCTAAGGTTCCTGTATTCACATTATTCTTCTCATAGGTGGAGTTCACATCAGGTCATGTGGACAGGAGTATTTTGACATTATAAAATACTTAACTTTTTGATGTGTAAATTTGTTGTTAGAAATATAACTCTGTATTAAAACAGACTATTTTCTTCTTTAGCACCGACTAGAACAGGAAGCTGAAAAGAAGGTAATAATGCTGGCAGAGAGAGCCCATCATGAAGCTGTTGTGTAAGAGACTGCTGCCATTCTCCCCTTTTTAATAGCTTCTCTTACTTCTTTCAAGTTTGTTTTGTTCTTATCATGTTGTCTTCCTACTTCTCTCCTGGTTTGCTTTCTTTGAATTTTTTGGCTTATTTTCCCTCACTGTTTCCATAAAGAAAACTTTGTGTTTTCACCCTCTTCCTCTCCACCCTTTTTGTAGCAGCATCATGTGCAGGTAAGAACCTGGGCTTTGAAATTAGACTGGTTCTCAACACATATACCAATGGACTATGGTAGATTCCTTAATTTTTTGAAATTAAATTTCTTTATCTACAAAATGGGGTTAATACCTTAACCCCATTTTTTGGCCCAGTGGATAGAGTGTCGGCCTGTGACTGAAGGGTCCCAGGTTTGATCTGGTCAAGGGTACATGCCTGCATTTCGGGCTCGGTTCCCAGTAGGGGGCGTGCAGGAGACAGCCAATCGATGATTCTCTCTCATCATTGATGTTTCTATCTCTCCCTCTCCCTTCCTCTCTGAAATCAGTAAAAATATGTTTTTAAAAAATGAGGTTAATAATAGCAACCTGTCAGGGTTGTCCTTATCATTAATTTGGGGGGATAAAGCAATAATTGTCCTAGTTTGGTAATATCTGAAACTTAGACCTCTGTTTTGAAATCTTGTGTCTCTCTATTTCAGGCAATTGAACAGTGCTGGAAGAGCTGTTTTTAAAGAGAATGTTTCTCTCCAGAAAGCTCTTGACTATCACCTGAAGGAAGCTGATGCTCTACAAAAACAATCTGCGAAGTTGCTAGAGTCTAAAACTTCCCTTTTATATCAAAAGGTTCCAATTCTCTTTTAGACTTTGCTTCCTATCTTTTTAAAAAATATGTTCTTACTGATTTCAAAGAGAGGAAGGTAGAGGGAGAGAGAAATAGAAATATCAATGATGAGAATCATTGATCAGCTGCCTCCTGCATGCCCCCTGCTGGGGATCTAGCCTGAAACCCAGGTATGTGCCTGACTGGGAATTGAACTATGACCTCCTGGTTCATGAGTCTAGCTCAACCACTGAGCCACACTGGCAGGGCCCTATCTTTTTTTTTTTAAGGATTAAGTTGATAAGTACTAAGCATCCTATCTAATAATAGACAAACATGGTAATTGACTGTACCTTCGCTACACCTCCCATTGGCTAATCAGCACGATATGCAAATTAACTGCCAACAAAGATGGCGGCTAATTTGCATACCGCAGGCAGGGTGGGACAGCGCGAGCTGCCAGCGCGCTGCTATCCAGTGCAGCCCCGCCCCAGAAGCCCCAGGAGCCAGGCCTGCCTTGCCACCCAGGACCAGATCGATCCGCGGGTCCCGGGCGGCAAGCTAGCCTGGCCCCAGAAGCCCCAGGAGCTGGCCCTGCCTTGCCGCCTAGGACTCCATTGATCGGCAGGTCCTGGGTGGCAAGGCAGCCCCGCCCCAGAAGCCCCAGGAGCCGCCTGATATGGTAGTAACTCTATCAGTAAGCACTCTGAAAGTCAGTGGTGTAAATGCACCAATTAAAAGACAGATTATGAGGGTGAATCAAAAACAAAACCCACTTTAAATATAAAGACACATATAGATTAAAAGTAAATGAATTAAGCTGCAGCCT